TGTAAGCCGCCCTGAGTCCCCTCAGGGAAAAGGGCGGCCTATAAATAATAAACTCATAAACTCAAACTCATAAAACTTCTGCTTTTGTCATTTAACTTAATAATTTAAATATAGTGGAAAAATCAGAAGACTAATTCATTGTTCAGGTTCAGGCTGTGGCCTGAATGCAACCAGTGCTTCTTTGGGCTCTTGCAATATTTCACTCGGTTGCCTCTTAAGCCAAACAGAATGGTAAATGGTTTGTTTCTCCTTTGACGATCACAGATACAGCAATAACCAGGGTCTGTCCTTTTCCCAAGTAACGTTTTCCACCTTTTATCCAATTCCTTAAACAGTGGAAAGTGGAAAGGTAGAAAGTAGGGTGATGGTTGGAGAGTATGGAAGCCCATTGATTTTCCTTGCAACCTTGTCAGTGGTGGGATTCAAATTTTTTTACTACCGGTTGTGTGGGTGTGACTTGGAGGGCGTGGTAGGGGAAGGATTCTGTAAAATCTCCATTGCCTCCCCACTCCAGGGGAAGGTTACTGCAAATCCCCATTTCCTCCCGGTCAGCTGGGACTCAGGAGGCAGAGAATAGATGGGGACGGGGCCAGTCAGAGGTGTATTTACCGGTTCTCTGAACTACTCAAAATTTCTGCTACTCCAGAACTGGTCAGAATATGCTGAATACCACCTCTGATCCTATGGGTGAATATCTCAAATTCATGCTTTTTTCCCCTTTTCTCATTCAGTTTCAGATACTGACGATCAAACTGGTAAGCATCTTCTTCTTTGTCTTCTCAACATTGTAAGCTGCAACTATTTAAACAGGAACACTTATTGTCTTCCAGGAAAATTGGTAGTCTTAAATCAATGTAATTTGGTTTCTTTATTTGAGCCAATAAAATGCATGTATGCTTTAGTGTTTGGGCTACTAAAACACACACACACACACACACACACACACACACACAGTCATATGTAAATGCATTTTATATACATTAATATTGTGTATTTTTGTATTAGCAGAATGGAAAACCATAGGCAAAATATTTCATGAAAGCCCCAGAAATTACTTTAGATTGGCTACTTTTTCTCTGCCTTATGGAGCAGTTCAAAATTATAGGATAAATGCACAGGAATGAGTAAAATAGCATTTTAGACAAGAAAAAACCCAAATGCATGGTGCTCTTAGCATTACTGAATTAATTCATTTTCTAAATTTACACGGTGCATTGAATCATAGATTATCAGGCTGGTTTGCCATAATATAATAAGTCTCAAAAAAATCAAACTCTACGAATTCTAGATCAATGGAATAGGCTGCCATAGGAAGTAATGAGTTCTAGACGTCATCAAACAGAGGCTGAAGGATCATCTGTCAGGCCTGCAGAGGTGGATCTTATACTAGGCCGAGGATTGAAGTAAATTTCCATTGTACATGATTTTATGAACTTTATTAAAATCAACTCTAATGGATCTTAGTATGCTGCATGAGTTCATCTACAGTAGACATGATTAAGCATGTCTTATATAAGCCTACATGCTTCTCAGTTTCCTGGGCATATGACCATGTTCAAGAACCATGCATTATAGTCTTGAAACTGTTGCAGAATGTGGAGATAGCAATAGCACTTAGATTTATATACCACTTCATAGTGCTTTACAGCCCTCTCTAAGCGGTTTACAAACATCAGCAATATTGGCTCCAAAAATCTGGGTCCTCATTTTACCGACCTTGGAAGGATGGAAAGCTGAATCAACCTTGAGCCTGGTGAGATTTGAACTGCCAAATAGTAGGCAGCCGGCAGTCAGCAGAAGTAACCTGCAGTACTGCATTCTAACCACTGCACCACCAGGGAGATAGTCACAAAGAGAAATACATAGAAACGGAGAGGCATTGTGTATCTGTGTGTCATGCAAATTCCTACCCACCTTTGTTCTGAAGGGGGGAAGACATGCTGAGGAGCAAGGGTGAACCTAGGAGAGAATAACTGGAAAATAAAAGAAAGCAGGTAGAAACATCTGAGGTGGTAGCATGCAATCTTTTCTAAAGCAGTAGGTAGAAACAGAGGATCGGCATCACAAGTGGGGTACACTTTATTACCTTGTTTTTGATGTTCTAAGTTAGGGGTGTTAAATTCAATTTCATTGAGGACCACATCAGGGCTATGGTTGACCTTGGGTGGGGGAGCAGTTGGGCATGGCTGACTGGATGGGTGTGGTCAGCTGGATGCCACTCACAGCATGGCTGACTGGGTGGATGTGGTTAGCTGGGTTGGCATGGTCAGCTTGACCTCACACCCCAAACTGCTGGCCTGATGTTTCCTCTTTGCACTGGGTAGATTGGGCCAAAGTGACATGGGTAGACTGGGCTGAAGTGAGGTGGGCTAGCCCCTTATATTTTCCAGGATGGCCCCATGGGCCGGATCTGACCACATTGTAGGCCGGATCCAGCCTGCGGGCCTTGAGTTTGAGACCCCTGTTCTGAGTGAATCGAACCCAGTCACTCTATGTTTCTTTTGCTTCCTGCCAGAAATTTTAGTCTCCCATGCTAAAAATCCTTCTTCTCTTCTTGTTGTTCCAGCTCCAACTGGTAATGCCACCCTCCCTGGTTCTGAAGAAAACCTCTGCAAAATCTGTATGGACTCCGTCATTGACTGTGTCCTATTGGAGTGTGGCCACATGGTGACTTGCACAAAGTGTGGGAAACGTATGAATGAGTGTCCCATCTGCCGGCAATACGTGATAAGAGCTGTCCACGTTTTCAGGACTTAAAAGCACAGGAAGCAGGACTAATATTCTTCCACTGTGACAGAGAGCACCAGTCCCAGAGCCACCCAGTCCCCATTCTTAAGAAGCCCACAGATGATAGGTGAGATGAAGGATGGAGGGCTGCGGAGAATTGAGCTGTGATTGGCTGCCTACCCCAACTAATACTGTGCATTATACTACAGTGCCTGGAGAGCTGGACATCCTCAGTAGATCTAGAAAGCAACATGCCTTTTCTTTGTCTGCTTTTGACAGGGCATAAAGAAACTCTTGATGTTTCCAAGACATTGAGGCTCTTCCCCTCTGGAGTAAATAAACAAGGTGATCTAAAGAGGAAGAGAGATTTGCTTCTCTCAATTCTCCTTTCTCTTTGACTAAATCCTTGAAGGGGAGAATATATATTCCTCCTTTTTTTGGATATATATTTTTTTAAAGAAAAAACTTTTAGTTTATTAGCTAGCCTTGCTGGTCAGGCTGAAAGTTGTCTCTTCTATTGCCTTGGATTCTTGTACAGAGTAAAGCTGTGTCCTACCGTAGTGGCCATGGTGACATACCTACAGATGAAGAGGGGTTGTAGGCGAGGCGAGGATTTACAATGATGGAGTTGAAATTTTGCCAGTTTTGTAGCGAATGAGTATCTCAGGGATACTTTCTATGTTTTTGTTTGTTTATAATTTTGTCATGATCAAAATGCGGTGGCCTTTAAGAAAATCAAGTTGCATTATAATTGATTTGTTTTGTATTGTCATTGGGGAAAACTCTTTAACATTTGTTCTGGATTTTGCTTATGGAATTAGCATTTGGGATAATAAGGCGGAACCAGTTGTGCTTTTTAAAGGCCAGCGTCAGATCATAAACTACATTAGGGCCTATCCTTGACAAAGGATCCTCTTCATTTCACTCTTTTGTTAGCATTTGCTGCCTTTCTGATAATAGTATTTCATACCGAGATGAACAGATGTCCAGATTGCTTTCTGTAGAAGTTCAACTACTTGATTTTTTTGAAGTACGTATTTCTGCCTTTAAATGACAAGCGTTGGCATTTCATTTGCTTCTATTGAAAAAAAAATCTTATGTTCTTTAATCACTCTTCGGTGAAGCATTGAAGTGAAGAAATTGGATACATGGGATCAGAATGGATCTTTTCATTAGTAAAGATGAAATGAAATGCTGAAGATGGAGGGTCTTTTGCCTTGCTCTTCTGAAACCATTTTTTGGTGACTACGCAAATGTGTTTAGCTATCTAATTGCAGTTAATGAATCCCCATGAATCTTGGACTGGATCCTACTTTTACAACTGACGGAGAGGACTGTTTTAGGAAGAATCACAGAAAAAAGGTAATCAGTAATTCTTAAAAAAAATGGTTTTGGAAGAAATCCAGGAGAACCATTTAGTTGTTTACATACTATCTTCTTCCAAGGGTGTTTCAGAAAGACAGTTTTTCTCTCCATGTTGCATAAAAAGCCTTAAGAAATGTGGCACTTTCATATCAGCGGCTTCCTTCACTGTTCATGTCTTAATTCCCAGTCAGCCCAAGTGCTTTCTTAAATTTTGGCTGTTTCCCAAATTTGTTAATTGCCTTTTGTAAGTTGAAGATGCCTTATAGTTTGCCTTAAGCCTACAGTACAGGTGTTTTGTACTGCAGTTCTTTTTAGCCTTAGCAGCAAGGGAATTGTATTTCAGAACATAGGAAGTGCACTAATGCTGCCTTAAGTCCTGAGATGAGTGTAAAATAGTTAACCATCAATTTGCTTACAGGTTGCATCGATGAAAGATTGCATATAAATCTTTCCTCCCTTTCTCCTATGGAATTCCACAGGTGTTCAAAAGAAAGGGATTTTTTTTTTTACAAATCAGTTTGCACATGCAGTATATATTACCTTCTTCATTATGGTTCCCAAAGATCTACCTTCAGAATTGCACTATTGGGCATGGCAATATCCCAAATACCTGGGATTGTGAACCTCTGTCCTACCTGCTTTTTTTGTAAATGCTTTTGATAACAGATTGTGAGATATAATCCCTATATGTATATCTGTAACCTCTGCAACCAACATCGTAGTTTGTGGATAGTTTTTTAAAAAAAAGCTTTTTGGGGGCGGGGTGGGGCTTCGGTGCATTTTTAACACGGATTGGCTATGTATAAAGCCAATGAGGGAAACAATTTGTAACCCTTTTCTTTGGGATGGTGAGGAACAGAGGGATTTTTTTTCCATATAGGAAATCTTAAAACTTCAGTTAATGTTAGAAATGTCATTTGAGTTACTGTTGTTCAGCTGTTAAATTTCCCTTTTCCCCCTTTTAGGAAGGACTTTAAAAAATAAAATAAACTTTACATTCCAATAGGGGGCACGATAATGAATAAAGGGGTTCTTTGTGAACTTTGTGAATATTAGATGTTGATCATGCCTAAAACAAAATTGCTGGTACGGGTAATAGCGGGGGAAGAAGAGGTAGGAACCTGAAGAAGGAAAATACCCAAATCTCTATTTGTTGTCAAGTTCAATGTAAACATGGGTGGTGACTTAACAAGTTAGACAGGGCTGCTCTTCCCAAAGCGTTGGGCTATTCCATGGGTGTCAAACTCGGTTTCATTGAGGGCCGCATCAGGATTGTTTGACCTCAGGAAGCTGGGGTGGGCATGGCCAGCTTCATGTCACTCCTGTTGGGGGCATCTGTAGTGGCCTGAGCGCTCTGCCAGCGAAAACAGGCTCCCGAGCTCTGTTTTTGGCTGCCACAGCCTCCTGCAACCCTCTGCCAGTGAGCTTTTTTCATTGGCAGAGGATTGCAGGAGCCCCTGGCAGCCAAAAATGGAGCTTGGGAGCCCCTTTTCGCTGGCAGAAAAACCACGGGCTAGTCCTTTGCAGTTTCCGGTGCAGCCCCATGAGCTGGATCCAGTCCCCGGGCCTTGAGTTTGACACCCTTGATCTATTCTGATCTTCCCCACTGATGGGGGAAAAAAAAAAAGTTGGGACAGCAATAATGTCCCAATCATGGGTAAAACAAGTAGCTTGTTTCTTTTTCTTTCTTTCTATCACTTGTATAATGAAGTTCCCACTGCCACCCTATTTTGATTCAAAATTTGGTATTTTCCAATGACTGTGATTTGAATTTTGGTGAAGCGAAACCTCCATAGTGATGCTGCTTTGTGACTGATGGACTGCTGCTGCTGCTGCACTAAGCTATGGAGGATTTCTGTTATTCTGCCAGAAAAAAACAATAATATAGCAATGTATTGTCTGAACAGTGGGAAAGTTAATTTGACTGTGAGAAGCTGTATTTCGACAGGTCTCACTAGCACAGAGTCCTGCTTTATAATTTTATAATAAAATGGAAACATGTTATTAAATTATGCTCCTCTTTTTCTTTTTAAACAAAGAATATGTTTCAGGTTTAACATGAGTTACTTGATACTTGGCAAAATATTGTTTAGACTAATAATGAAAACTGGAAACCGATCCTTTTGCTTGATCATGTCTTGATGGCATAACCGTTTGAACCAGAGCCCATTGTGTCTGCAGTGTAAATGAAACTCCAAGGAGTATCCAACAGTCCACCTACCTGTTCCTTCCACTATTTGCAAACAGCAGTTTAAAATTCCCTTTGGCCATTTTTCCTGCAGGTTGGTTATTTTAACACCTCACTCTTGTGGCCCTCAGTTGAAAAACAAAAGCTTGTTTTCAGTTCCATGATCTCTGAAAAGGATGCTCAAAACACTATGGAATGAATTTTGTCCTATTTTTTTTTTTTTTGCGTGGGGGGAATTACCAGTGTTTTGTTTTCAGTTCAGAAAATTTCACAACTCCTGCAAAACATTTTAGTTTTAATTATTTGTATGTAGGACTGGTGAATGTGAACTTCCATGAAACATGGGCTCTTAAGGGATCTGTTCCACTGCTTAAGGGCTCTCAAGTCAGGAAATTCTTCCTTATTTTGAGTTTGGAGCGTCCTCTGAAATCTTCCATTCATTGATTTTTATGGTACCCATGGGAGCTCCAGAGAACAAACCCACAGTCTTCCTGAGACAACATTGGAAGATTGGTATCATGTCTCCCTTTAGTCTTTGCCTCTTTAGGTTGAACATGCCCAGTTCCTGTAAACATTCTTCATAGGATTCAGCCTCCAGACCATTATCTCAGTTGCTTTTTTCTGCATCATTTCAGTTTCTCTGCGTCCTCCTTGCATCATGACAGAACTCAATGCAGTATTTCACGTGTGGTCTCACCAATGCAGCATCGAGTAGAGCACTCATCTCCAGTGATCTTGACACTGTACCTCTGAGGATGCAGCCCAAGTTTGCATGAGAGCTTTCAGCAGCAAAACATACACTGCCTTTGGCTCATGTTTAACCTGTTGTCTACCACAGGGGTCTCCAACCTTGGCAACTTTAAGACTTGTGTACTTCAACTCCAAGAATTCCTCAGCCAGCTTTCAACTCCCAATTCTGGGAGTCGAAGTCCACAAGTCTTAAAGCTGCCAAGGTTGGAGACCCCTGGTCTACCAGGACTCTGGGATCCTTCACACAAATACTACTGCTGAACCAGGTACCAACTATTTTGTATCTAAGCATATGGTTTTTCCTAAGTCTAGAATCCTATGCAGATAGCCCTCACTTAATCATTTATTCAGTGACCATTTGAAGTTACGATTGTGCCAAACAAATTAGGGGGATGGTGAAGCTAGGTAGCAGCAGAGTGCAGAATGGCCAAAGGCAGAGAGAAGTGAGCTTGGTAGTGCAGCAGAGAACTCAGCTGGGGAAGAAGCAGCAGGATGGAGCCTGCAGTTCGCACATGGCAAGAGAAGCATGAGGTTCTTGCCTAACAAAGACAACTGGGACTGACAGAACTTCCATTGTTGAGTGGTGTAATCACACGCTGTTTCATCTAACACCAGCTTTGCTCAGTGATGGAAATTTTGATGAGGTTCATTAACCAGGGTCTGTCTGAACTGCAATTAGCTGGATAGGGCCCTATGTTCAAGTATATCAGTATCCTTACAAATCTTGAATCTCTGTTCTGAGGGTTAATAAATCTCCAGCTTTGTCTCACCTCAAATTTGATAATAGCAATAGCGCTTAGACTTATATACCGCTTTACAGTGCTTTTACAGCCCTCTCTAAGTGGTTTACAGAGTCAGCCTATTGCCCCCAACAATATGGGTTCTCATTTTACCCACCTCAGAAAAATGGAAGGTTGAGTCAACCTTTAATAAGCATCCCTTCTGTCATTTTATCTAAGTCATTTATGGAATTACTGAGCATTAACCCAGGATAGAACCGAGGTACCCCACCGGATACCATATTTCAGAATGACATAGTACTGTTAAAAATCATGTGGCAGGTATGGTCGTTCAACCCTGAAAATCCGTCTGGTAATGAGACCGCCCATCCATTAAACATTCTATAAAAAATAAGCTATTCACTTCAAACAAAACATAATAGATAAAATGCATGCTACCCTGTTTCTCCCAAAATAAGACCTCCCCTGATAATAAGCCTACTTGGGCTTTTGAGCGCATGCGCTAAAATAAACCCTTCCCTGAAAATAAGCCTGAAAATATTGCAACACAGCAGCAACCATGAGGTAACCACGCTCGCTGCCTCTTGTACCTCAAAAATAATAAGACAACCCCCCCCCCCCGAAAATAAGGCCAAGTGCTTATTTTGGGAGTAAAAAATGTCCCTGTTTTATTTTCAGGGAAACATGGTAGTATCATCTCTAAAAACTTCCAGACACAAGGATAAAATAAACTGTCAAGTAGTGAATGGCTGAGAAATAGAAACGAAATAGAAACACATGGTTACGTAGTGCCAAATTGATCTTTAAAAAGTTATATACAAAATTTTTGCACAGCATTATTATTATAAAGAACTGATTTATGGCACATGATATGTGGAGTCCTTGGTGTTCTCTAAGCTTGATTGTTTTCTTGCAGACGTTTCATTACCCAACTAGATAACATCAGTGCTATCACTGAGTGAAAATTAGGAAAGGGAGCTTCCAGATAAGGTTTTGTTCCTATTTTTCATTTTAAAAAACCCTACACATTAAAAACAAGTGGAAATATTTTCAATTGATTGCTATTCAGTCATTTTTTTCATTAGGTACTTAATTCATTCCAGATGGTGATCATTTAATGGATGCAGTTAAGAAGTCTCTACATTTAATCACTGTTTTTCATTGGAGCTATTTGCTTACAGCAGATAATCTAGCATGGAGTCACCAGTCTTCTCTTTCGGATGCATTCCCAAATCCACTCAGGGGAGACATGCTTAGCAGCTGGGTTGTCTTCCATCCTCCCCATCACATGTGTTGCTGAAGTGGCATCATACTCCTGAACCAGGTCTCCATCATAGGCTACGAAATAACGCTTGAGTTTCCTGAAACCCTCCACGGATGGGGGAAGATAAAGCTTAACCCCAGTGAATACGTCCAGTAGCATCTGCTGTTTTGAGGTAGGAAACACACGAGAAGAAGGATGAACAGTCAACGAGAATTATGTTTTTAAAAGGTTCTAAATCGGAAGGAACAGAGCTGTATGGTAACATGCGTAATGTAAGAGAAACATACTTCAGCATTTAGGTGCTGTGTGTACACAAGACCTGCTTAATCGGGGTCTGTGGAAGATTCTGGAGCAACTACATTTCCTGAAAATGCTAAACTTGGTTGGAATTAACCCAGGGCTTTGTTCTTGCTTTGCATGCTGTGGGAATGCAGACTATAAGGTAATCCTTGACTTACAACTACAATTGAGCCCAAAATGTCTGTGGCTAAGCAAGACAGTTAAGTGAGTTTTGTCCCATTTTATGACCTTACTTCCCACAGTTGTTAAACAAATCACTGCAGGTCTTAATAACACGGTTAAATGACTCTTGATTTTGCTTCTCAGATGGTCACAAAAAGTGGACATATGACTGCAGGGGATTGCAACCCTCACAAATAAATGCCAGTAGCCAAGCGACTGAATTTTGATCACATGACTGAGGGAATGTCGCAGTGGTACTGTATCCTTATAATTCACGTTTTTCACTGCCACTGTAAATTCAAGTGGTCCCTGAACAAATGGTTGTAAATTGAGGACTGCCTGTATTTGGTTAAATGTGCTGTGTGTGGCCAGACAATAGATTATTTTAATGAGATGATGAAGTTTATGTGTGAATGCAGTTAGTGACAAAATGTAGTTCTGTAGCTACTTAGGAGACAATTGAAAAAAGTGGAATAATTCAAGAACCTTGCTTTACTTCAAGAGTAGGAAATTCAAGAGAATGGTAAACGAGAGCCCAATTTGTAATGCATTAGTGACCTGTGACAGCCACTAGGAAAAAATTAAACAACCCCACCCCCACCCCCCCATCACAGGGAGAAACCACAGCAATTATACACAACGTTGCAAATGTGTTCACCGGATGCTTGCTAACATGTGAAATGGTTGCATCTGGTGTCTTGTCCTCCTCTCTTCCCACATCCCAGAGAATTTTTCTATAAATGGGTGGGGGGGATGCACTCATACAGGAGTGCAAAGCTACCCTGTTTTCCCAAAAATAAGACCTCCCAGATCATAAGCCCAATCACGCTTTTGAGTGCATGTGCAAAAATAAGCCCTTCCCTAAAATATTTAAATGCATGCGCAGCTGTTCCCGCCATCTCCTGGGATGGGGGAACATACCCCACGCAGAACGGCCTTGTGGAAGCCACTCCCGCAAGCCCTAGCTACTGCGTCCCTTCTCTTAGTGGCGGACGCAAAAAGAGCGGCAGGTCCAGCAACGCCAGGGCTGGCAAGAGTGTGCCAGAAACAGAGACAGAACTTCCAGCCCTCTCTGGATCAGCTGATCCGCGGGCCACGGTTAATGAGCCTCCTGCACCTCAAAAATAATAAGACCTCCCCAAAAATAAGGCCAAGCCCTTATTTCAGAGGTCTTATTTTCAGGGAAACATGGTACCAAAATTCAAATTAATTGACTAATTTGTTTTTTTGTGCTTTTTTTTTTTTTGTTCAAGTGAAATGCTTTTAAAATGTGTGAATAAGAGTAGAACAGTCTGGTTTACTGCAGTCATTTAATGGCTAAATCTGAGGTGGTGTTTTGAGAGTAAGTTACTAGATCTCAAAAAGGGCCTGGTGTCCTCACTGCCTTCCACTGAACAGGAGAGAAGGACTCTCTGCAAGCTCTCCAATTCAGCTTCTCTGTAAGGAAAACAATAGTTGTTGCTGAAGAACTTCATAGTTTTGTGATGGGCACAGGGTGCTTGAAACATCCAACCGTCTCCTTGCCGAGATCGTATGTGGTTCAATATTGTTTCCAACGAGGAGGAAGGAGAAGTAGCCAAAAAGATGCTTTTGGAAGCTTTCAGCTCTATTCTCAGCATATCTCCTCAACTGGTCATTGGCAAGAGATTATCTTTTAATGGAGCAATGCAATTCAGTTACATTAGCCAAATGTTGATCAGACAATACTGTCCGATTCCCCTCTAGAACAGGGATCTCCAACCTTGGCAAGGTTAAGACTTATGGACTTCAACTCCCAGAGTTCTTGCCGCTCTTTTTGCATCCGCCACTCAGAGAAGGGACGCAGTAGCTAGGATTTGCGGGAGTGGCCTCCGCAAGACCGTTCTGCGTGGGTGGTAGGGGCACGTGGGGTATGTTCCCCCACCCCAGGAAATGGGAACTGCTGCACAAGTCTTAACGTTGTCAAGGTTGGAGACCCCTGCTCTAGAACAATTCCAATTTCTGCAGTGCAGACTATATTTCCTTCAAAAAATAGCTGAAGCTAAAGAGAACTTTGAAAATGCAGACTGGCTACTATATGGAAGTCCTCACCTAACAACCATTTGTTCAGCAACTGTTCGAAATTACAGTGACACTGAATGAAGGGACTTAATGACTTGTACCCAAAGTTACATCTGTTGCAGCTCCCCCATGGTAAAAATCCAGATGTTGGGCTATCTGCCCACCCACACTATGACAGCTGCAACCCTCCTCAACCCACCTATCTTTTCCCCATCTCACCCGCCCACCCACGCTTGCAAAGCTGCTGCAACCCTGAAGGCCTGCTCCCCACCTCATCACACTCAGGAGGCCCAAGCTTGCTCCCCACCCACCAGGTCTAGGAGGCCATGACTGGTTACAATTCCATAGGGTGTGCAAATTGGCCCACTTAGCTTTGCAGTTTTTCTGTTGATGGGTGCACAACAGCCTATGCCAGGCAAGGCCACACCATTCTTGCAATTATTTGGAAGGCTGCTTTTCAAAATTGCATAATAGGCATTCTGGGCCTGGTGGGGAGCAGCCATGAAAGGTTTTCACATGCTGGTGAATTGAAGAACTGAAGGCGCTCAGGGCCTATTCCAATCCCCTCAGACACCAACATACTCCTTACCTCAGACCAGTGGTGAAATTCATTTTTTTTTTACTACTGGTTCTGTGAGCATGGCTTTGTGGGTGTGGTATGGCTTTGTGGGTGTGGTATGGCTTTGTGGGTGTGGTATGGCTTTGTGGGTGTGGTAGGAGAAGATTACTGCAAAATCTCCATTCTCACCCCACTTTGGGGCCAGCCAGAGGTGGCATTTGCCGGTTCTCTGAACTATCCAAAATTTCTGCTACCAGTTCTCCGGAACCTGCTGGATTTCACCCCTGCCTCAGACGCTCTACTTACCGACTGAGAGACTGCTTATGACCATGACTGGGAGTACCAAGATTGTGGTTGTTGAGCAAAATGGTTACATGACAACTCACTTAATGACTGTTTTGCTCAACAAGTTGAGATTCTGGTCCCAACTGTGGCATCAAGTTGAGGATTACCTGTAATATGAAATGCTAGGGAACTGTAACAGACTCGAGTAACATTTACTTGGGGCGTGAAATTCAGTTCTCCATCCTTATAAAAAGCTTAGAATGTACATTATAGATGACAAGGAGGTTCGGAGGATTTTCAAATTTGTTTACATTGAGATTCTTACCTTTCTTTTGTCCTCCTCCATCTCGGCTGCTTTCCTTTTTTCTCCGCGCTTTCCCTCAGTTTTCTTCAGTGGAGATTTATCTAGCAGTTTGCTGGCTAATGAGGGGAAAAAAGTTTCTACATCAATCCTAAGCAGATGGCAAAAAACAATGGATTCATATAAGAAAGGTTATCCTGCCCATGGAAATAGAGGCAGAGGACACCTTCAGGCAGGCTCTGCAGCCATTCCTGCTGACTGACGTTATATTTGAAAATAACAACAGTTTTTAGTTCTGATTTTATAGCTTGCTCCATCGTAAGATTCAAAGTTGGCAACAGGTAGTTGTTTCTGCAATGACTGGAATGCTGTATGTACCTTCTCACACTGATTACCAAAAGCAACCGGAGGGAAACCTCATCTTTATATTATGCACCCAAGAGCATTTTGAGCACAAAATGGCACAAATCAAAAGAGAACTTGATTCCGTTTCTAATGGACCAAAGTTGTCCATGAGAAGTGAATTCTCATTGTTGAAGACAGGGAATGGCCCAAAACCATTTTAAAGCTTCCAAAATACAGAACGGTAATTAGCCCCGTATATCTACCAAGCCAGTACTGAAACAATACCTACCAACACTGGTTGATTTAATAGATTAGTTAAGTGTCAAACACCTGACAATGTAAACAGCAGCCATGAAAAGCATGTTTGAATTGGAAAGGTGATGTTGCAGTGTTTAGATTTCTAGAGGAAATCACTGTGCACATGGGGTGCACAGCAATTATTCGAAAAATTCTGATCCTCGCAACTATAATCCTGAGATTTTTACAGAACAAGGTCTGACTAGAACCGTGATAACGAACCTATGGCATGCATGCCACAGGTGGCACGCGGAGCCATTCGTCAGGGCACACGAGGCTTGCCCTGTCATCTGGCTAGCGCGCATGCATGCGCTGGCCAGCTGACTTTGGCCTTTTTTTGAGGCCATTTTTCGCAAGGGAAGCCTCCTGAAGGCTCCTGAGGGCTAAGACTGGCCCTACGAGCAAACTGGAAGTCAATTCCCTAACTTCCGGTTTGTCCGTAGGGCCAGGTTTTTGTGTTTCGGAGGCTTCGGGGAAGGCTCTGGAGGCTTCAGGAAAGCTCCTGAAGCCTCCAGAGCCTGAAGCCTGAAGAGCCTGAAGCCTCCGGAGGGCCTCTGGGTGGGGCCGTGGAGGTTGTTTTTGCCCTCCCCAGGCTCCTATAAAGTCTCTGGAGCCTGGGGAGGGCGAAAAAAGCATGCCAAAAATGGGGGGGGGGGGGAAGCCCTGGTCATGTGGGCATGCGTTCTGTGGTCGTACGCATAGTATTATGGGTGTGGCCGCCCGCGGACGACTCCCCCTGCTTTTGACACGCGAGCCAAAAAAGGTTCGCCATCACTGGACTAGAATAAATCTAACTTGGGGGGGCGGGGGGCGGGGGGCGGAAGTAAAAATGGATCCCTGGAGAAGTTTTAATACCTTTTCTCCACTGCTCACCTTCAGGCTTCTTGGCTTTCGCAGGAGACTTCCTGGATTGTGGTTTTGCAGCCTTCTGAGGAGAAGACAATTTGGGCTGGCCCTCAGTTTCTCCGCTGCTGCCCGTTGTGGAGTTCTCCTCTTCTGCTGCAACTACCAAGAAGTCCGATTTTTCTTTAGATATTTGGTACAGCTCCTGCACAAAAGCCAGAAAGTTCCATGAAGTTGGGGGCGGGGGGGGGGGAGCTTTGTAGCAAGTCTTTCTGTAATTTCCCACTTCTACCTGCAAGGTACAATTCAGATTCTACTGGAAAAAACAGGACAATAGGCACACTGGTAAATTATTCCCAATGAAACATCTGGGTTAACAAATGGCACAGATTCCAGCTTAATGTTGATGAGAAGTCTGGGATTATCAAAAGCTTCAATTTGTTGTCTTTTTCTCAGTGTGTGCATGCTAACTTTTTAACCACTATTGACTATTTTCTCTGGAAAAAGAAGTTAGATGCTTTCAGTCAAGCCAGATAGATGGGTTTGAATTATTCCGACTGAAGGTTGGACAAAAGCTGATCTACAAGGCCGGATGTGAATCACACTGATCCACCAACACTGGATCCCATTACTCTGTGTTGTCGCCCATATGTTTTTCAAAGAATTCACCAGTGCCACATAGAAGGCAGAGGTCTTCCCCATATGAGGAACCCAGAAACCTACCGAGAGACCCATTTCTACATTTCATGGCTAAGGACACTAAACAATGCTTCCTTTCCTATTCCTTTTCCTTAGCATGGCCACTTAAAAATGAAGGGATCTTATCGCTATCTTGACCAAGTAAGAAATTTAGGAGATGGGGATTCTTTTTCAAAAGGTACTCTCAGATAATGGGAGTGGAGAAGTTCTCAATGACAAGATATAAGCCACAGACGAAAGATGAATTGTGTACAGATTGACGAGGAGAGCTGGGATGGAGATATAATTTATATATACACACATGCATATAAAGGTAAAGGTTGCCCTCGCACATATGTGCTAGTAGTTCCCAACTCTAGGGGGCAGTGCTCATCTCCGTTTCAAAGCCAAAGAGCCAGCGCTGTCCAAAGACTTCTCCTTGGTCATGTGGCCAGCATGACTCAATGCCGAAGGCGCACGGAACAGTTACCTTCCTACCAAAGGTGGTCCCTATTTTCCTACTTGCATTTTTACATGCTTTCGAACAGCTAAGTTGGAAGAAGCTGGGACAAGTAACGGGAACTCACTCTGTTACACAGCGCTAGGGATTCAAACAGTCAACCTTTCTGATCGACAAACTCAGCCTCTTAGCCACTTCTACATACATATACGTACACACACACACACACTGCAGAATATATATAATGCAGAAATGCTGAGAATTGTATTTCGAGATATGGATCTCAGAATAGTAGGTTCACAATATATAGGGTGGCTATATCCGTAAAACAAGTGACTCACCTTGAGTTGTGGGAGGGTGGTGGAGGTAGTCCAATCTTTGTCATCCCGGATACGAGTACACCGGGGGAAGCGGATTGAGATCCCATCAGCTGTGTGGGCCTCTGCTTTCGAGAATTCAGCGCCTGTAATCTCCCAGACTGGTGCTGCCTAAGACAAATGGTAATGATTGGGGAAAAAATCTTCCTTGCCAATGAACCAAGAGATGGAGTGCTCTGTGCACCATGAGTGATGATGTGTCCTTGGTGCTCTCTGAGCTTGATTGCTTACTTGCAGATGTTTCATTACCCACTTAGATAACATCATTAATATCACCTAGTTGGATAATGAACTCTTTGCAAGCAAATAACCAAGCTGAGAAAGCACCATGGACTCAACATTTTAATAATGAGCTACATATATATTTTCTTCTACAGGAACCATGAGTAATCACGGTCCATCAATTCTACACAGGCGTTTATGTTTTTCATTAATTTTAAGAAGCAGGTACAAAATTGAGTGTTTTGGATTGTGTGAGATCAATTTGTGTGAGATCAATATTAGATAATCTAGCCAATCAGAGGAACCCATGCAGAGTCCCGAATTACTAACTAAATTAATTGATTTGTTATTGATTTGTTTGGTCAACAATCCTTTTTATGTCATTAAAATATTGGATCAATTTGGAAGCATCCAATTTGGCTTTAATCAGTTCAGAAAGGTTTTTTCATTAGGACAGTCAACTGAATCACCCTTGGACTAATACCCTAAATGTACCAAAAGGACATTTAGGGTATTGTCCAAAGTAAAATATTCTTAACAGAAGGTTATCTGTCTCTTCTTGAACATCTCACGGCAACAATCTGGTATATAAAAACAGGACTTTAACCCAACTTTTGCTTAGAGTGAATCTGGTCCAGAATACTACAGCGTGAGACTTGCTCAATTTCATTCTATTTTGTTTTTGTTTTAATTTCTTATCCCAATGGCTGTGTAATGTAAGCTATATGAATGTACAATATATCAATGTATAATAACTCCTACAAGGTCCACTTTCCTATACCCACTGCTCCTGGCTTTTCATAAATGGATTGGTTTGTAGCTGTTACTAGCATTCTTCCATGATTTTTTTGCCTACGCATTCAGAAATCTGGAAAAGTGTTCAGGTAGTCCTCGAGTTATGAATGTAATGGAGCTTGCCCATTCCATTTGTAACTCTAGGATTCGTGGGAGTGAATCTTGTATTTTGAATGCGACCACTCTTTCCTTTTCACCCATGCATTCACTAATCAAATGCCTGGGGAGGGTGAAAACAGCATTGTCGTCCACCCCCCTCCCCCTTCTGGAGGTCCTCCGGAGGCTTCAGGGACCTTCAGGAGGCTTCCCTGAAGCCTCCGGAGCAGTCAAAACAACCCTCCGAGCAAATAGGAAGTCACTTCCAGTTTGCTTGGAGGGTTGTTTTAAGCGCTCTGAAGGCTTCAGGGACCTTCAGGAGAAGCCACTTTTTCATGGGAAACACCCACTCCCATGAGACATTTTACCTTTGGGTCTGGAACAATGAAATCCGGATAATAATTCTTATTAATCTTTAACCAGTCTGGAATTTTACTGGGATCCTAGACAATGGAAGAAAAAGGCATCCATCAATGTAGCCCATTATTATAGGATGGAAAATACTTTAATGATGGTTAAAGGAATAAATGGTTCCCATACATCTAAGAAAATTGTATTGCACTGCAGTTTTCAAAGCTCAGGGTTTGCTAGTGTCACATTATCGTCAGAAACCATGATTTACAAATTGCTATACCCCGAACAACATACTAAACAAAAACCAAATAATAGAAGGTTATTTCAACAGGACTTTGGTGGTTGTTGTGATTGTGGGAGACAATTACATCATAATTTCAATTGTTTTATGGTGCATGGAGGGATAGGGGGTACAATACACAAACATTGCAAGTAAGTTTTAACTTAATATAACTAAGTACATTGTCTTTTGTGAGCCGCCTGGAGTCCTCCGGGAGTGGGAGGCATACAAGACAAATAAATAAATAAATAAATAAATAAATAAATAAATAAATAAATAAACCCTTAGTCTTCTGCACTGCTTCCCTATTTATTCCATTTTGAACAAACCTGAGGAGTTGTCAATTAGGACCAAGTTATAGTAAAACAGCATTTAATATCCTTTAAATTAGGGGTGAAATGCTGTGAAGTCTGCTACCACGTCGCACACATGTACACCGCAGGCGCTACCACGTAGCTCCAACAATCCGCTGTGCAACAATCAGCTGTGCCACATTATATTGCGCGGCGCAGCTGATTGTTGGAATGTAAAAAAATGCTACCGGTTCACCCAAATTGGTGGCATTTTTTTACTACCGGTTCGGGTGAAGCAATCCAAACTGGAGGCATTTCACCCCTGCTTTAAATGCAGCAATACAGAGAAAAGAGCATGACCTCTTTGAACTTTAAAAACCCAGATATGGAGGATCATCTGAATGTACTATTTGTGCACATGGGTAAATGAGAAAAAGAAACTGGATCTCGATCTTTAGCATTAAACTCAATCAGGGAGAAGTTTAATGCTAAAAAAAAGTTTAGTTTTAGCTTCCATGTTTCAAATTACAGCAAAAACATTGCCATTTCCTGCAAGACAAGACTCACAGGAAGCTTTTTCACCTGGTGAGCCACAAGGCCTTCTAAACACAAACCTTGCTGATTTTCACCATGTCCAATTCTTTCTGAAGCCGGGCAAGTGTGGCATCATCATGTCCACCAGCACATTTGGTCACTGTGCACCACTTCTGGCTGTCGGGATCATAGCAACCCATGAGAAAGATGGACATCATCCCACCTAAAGCAGTGAGAAGAGACAAAAATGGCAATCAGGTGGAGGAGGGGAATAAATCTAATTTTAACTTCTAAAATCTCTCCTCATGACAACATTCAGAGACTGCAATTGAAAAAACCTGAAAACTTTGGTTTTTGAACATTACATCGCATGCAGTGCAAGCCTTTCAGTGGTGGGACGTTTTATAGGCCTTGACTCAGTTGTTAGCTTGCCACTTTGCTATTGTAAAATGTTTACGGTATGGGTAAGAAGTGGATTGTATTGTGAAGTTTTCATATCTTTTGGATTTTGTTGCAGATATTTCCTGAGCCTTGGTTAAAAGGTTGAGAAAGGCTGCCTGAGGCTCTGAAAAGCCACAGCAAAGCAATACACACAAGATTAAGTTAGAAGTAGGCATATAATAAAGGGGCACGGTGGCTAAGATGCTGAGCTTGTCGATCAGAAAGGTCGGCAGTTTGAATCCCTAGCGCTGCGTAACGGAGTGAGCTCCCGTTACTTGTCCCAGCTTCTGCCAACCTAGCAGTTCAAAAGCATGTAAAAATGCAAGTAGAAAAATAGGAACCACCTTTGGTGGGAAGGTAATAGTGTTCCGTGTGCCTTTGGCATTTAGTCATGTTGGCCACATGACCACGGAGACATCTTCGGACAGTGCTGGCTTTTTGGCTTTGAAACAGAGATGAGACTGTCCCCTAGAGTCGGGAACGACTAGCACATATGTGCGAGGGGAACCTTTAACTTTACATAGGCTTATAATGAGACAAATTCCTAATCAAATCAGTTATTTATGTACTGAGAACCAGGCTCTTACTATGTGTTATGAAATATCCCATAGTTTAATAATCAATTATGTGCTCAGTATGTAAAGCTTCCCACGTTTCACTCCCAACCAACTTCAATAGGCTAGAGCAGTGTTTTTCAACCTTGGCAACTTTAAGATTTGGGTACTTTAAATTCTCAGCTTGGCTGGCTGGAGAATTCTGAGAATTAAAGTTCCCATGTCTTAAAGTTGCCAAGGTTGAGAAACACTAGGATAGTTGCCAAACTGAAATTCTGGAGAACTATAGTTAGTAACTATAGTTAGTTCTATCCTGCTCTACAGAGTGGAGAGTTGGTCTCTGACAGAAAGCCCCTTGAAGAGACTAGAAGCATTTGAAATGTGGATTTACAGGTACATAAAAGTAGGGTTGACAAAATCAGAAATGAGGTGGTGATAAGCTGCATGGGAAAGCCAAGGGAAATCATCAAAACCATAAAAAAGCAAAAGTTAGAATATTTGGGACTTGTGATGCGACACTCAGAAAATACGGCCTCCTTAACTTAATCCTCCAAGGAAAGACTGAAGGCAAATGAGGTCCAGGCAGAAGAAGAACATCATGGCTTCAAAATCTAAGGGACTGGTTTGGACAAAACTCAGCAGCACTTTTTCATGCGGCTGTTGATAAATAGGATCACCAACATGATCACCAACGTCTGATGATGGATATGGCACAACAAGAAGAATAGTTAGTGACTCAACTTACTATAGTGCCTCAGTATAAATACAGGTATTAATGGGGAAAATCTCAGCCCAAACACTAAATCAATAGGAACAATTTACTAAAGAAAGAAACAAGGGAAAAAATCCAAATGTGAGTTAATATTGTCTATCTAGTCTAGAGAAAATATTTACGTCTCTTCAGGCTGGACTGAGTTAAAAAACTGAACTCTACCAGTCAGAGGTCAAGACTTTTTTCTAACTCAGTCTCCTAGGCTAATTGACAAAGTTAACCCATCCTTGGATTCTCCAAGCAGCGCACAGGAGAACTTTCCAAGTTCAAACGTCTTGGGAAGCATCTCAAAACTCCCATCTAACACCTTGGAGAACTACAGCAAGTCAGTGTGAACTAGGAAGAATAAAGCGTTTGGATTCTCATTCTGGATTTTTAAAAATACCCACCTTTGCTCCCCTGGCCATAGAAGGCACCCAAAACCACCAGGTCTGCTGTGTCTGCCATTGCTCCCTCATTCAGATAGTCCTTCTTCACTTTGAGCCAGTGGCGTTTTCCTGGTTCATAAATACTCTATCCAAAACAAAAGCAGAATCGGAACGATACAGATTCCAAGGGGAAAAGGCTGGTCCCACTCTCTCTAGTGCAGACCCCACTTTTGGAGATAAAGGACTGCGGGTGGCCTTTAATCGGTATGGACACTCCAAAAGGTAAAGGGGAAGGGAGATCAGAGGAAAACTCTCAATGTCAACTAAATTACACTTAACACGGTTCTCAATTTTACCGATTCCCTCCTCGGTCACAACAAAAATTACAATTCAGCAGCAACTTTTACAGGGACTCTTGGAGGTGTTTTTTTTTTTTTAGAGTGGCATGCAATCCCTGCATCTAAAACTACACAGTTCTTCTCTAACTCTGGTGACAATAGAAGTTCCCACCCATTTTATATTCTTCCTAATCTAATATTTCTTAATGGTTAATATATTGAGAGATATGCATAAGCAGCTAACTCATTTTTTTAAAAAAAACTGTGTCAATGTATTATCCCCCCCCCACCCCCAAAGATAACTTTAAAATAATAATAACTATGTCTTCTTCAACATCTTTTCTACTCAACATCTTATCTGCAATGAGGAATTGGTGACTTAACACCATTCATTTTACGGCCCTTTCTGGCCCCAAATTCATAGAAACAGCTTTGATAGAGTCAAAGTAAAGAATGAAAGTTCCTTCTCCAGAATTGATTCTTTTAATCATTCTGGGACTAAATGCTTTTTATATTTGGAGATTTGGAAGAAATGCTGAAGAGGACAGTTAAGATCAGGGGTGTCAAACTCGATTTCATTGAGGGCCGCATCAGGGTTGTTTGATCTCAGGGGTGGGCATGGCCAGGGTGGGGGTGGGCAGCTCAATATCACGTGTTGGGGCCCCCTGTGGTGGCCTGAGCGCTCTGACAGCAAAAATGGGCTTTCAAGCTCTGTTTTCAGCTGCGACGGCTTCCTGCAGCCCTCTGCTAGCCAAAACAGAGCTCGGGAGGGCTGTAGGAGGATGGATCTATCAAGGCTTTATAGTCTTTAATATTGTTTTGTGGGGAGGGGGGATATTTCTGAAGTCAAAACTGCCTTCCAGTTATGGCTTTTGAGCTGCAGTGGCCCAGTGGTTAGAGTGCAGTGCTGCAGGCTACTTCTGCTGACTGCCTGCAATTTGGCAGTTCAAATCTCACCAGGCTGAAGGTTGACTCAGCCTTCCATCCTTCTCAGATGGGTAAAATGAAGACCCATATTGTTGAGGGCAAGAGGCTGACTTTGTAAACTGCTTAGAGGGGGCTGTAAAGCACTGTGAAGCGGTATATAAGTCTAAGTGCTAAGTGCTATTTTCAGTTTGACAGACTTTGTAGCCTGCTGGCATAAATGGTCGGGCAAAAACAGCAGCTTGCATACCTTCACATCTTTCAGCACCAATCCCTCCAGCCCTTCCCGGATGACTCGGTTGATCATGTCGGCGAGGTCTGAAGCTTTCTGGAAAATAAGGAAGAGAAAGTTGCCAAGGCAGGATTGAGATTAGCCACCTCACTGGATATTTAAACATTTCTGAACGTCTTATCCAGATGATTTAACTGGCTGATTGTCCATTTATTTCAGATAACAAGCCAGCCAGCCAGCCAGCCAGCTCACTTATTTCATTTTGCTTGAAAATTCCTGGCCTAAGACATTCTACGTCTTATGACCTATGTTTGGCATATCTACCTTTCATGAATTGTAAAGCTAGAAGGGTAAGCATCTGATTAATGCTTATTTAATCTTAATTCTGCTATCTATTCCATTTTTCCAGACCAGACCAGACCAGAAAATCAATTCAATAGAAACATTAGAACTATACCTGATTAAACTGGCTATAACAGAATCTTGCAACCTTGATTGTTCTTTACAGACCACAGTGAATCAGGGAAGAGCCTGTTTAAATCACTTCTAAATGCTGTTTTGCTTCTTGGGACTGAAAAAATTGTTTCATTTTCTTTGCTTAGGTGATGGTTCTTGAGTGTTTTTGTCAAAGTTGTTTTCTTACATTTGACACCATTCCCTATTAATCCAGATGGATTGGAAGATTAAAGCAGTTACGGGAAATCTAGAAAGAACCCTCCACAGCTGGTCCAGCCCCTGGGTGGGTGGGTGTGGATGGTTGCTGTTTTTATTGCTTCTTGTGTGCATGTGATCTAGAATCATTGAATGAGATGGGCACCAATATATATGTAACTTTTACAAATGAATGAATGAATGGCATCAGGATAGGGAAGAGGACACAAACTTTTTTTGAGACACCGAAAGTAAAGCCCCCAATGGCTCACACACGTACCGAAGATTCAGAGAACTTTCCGCTGAGCATTTTAAAGCTTCTCCAAGTCTCATTCTTGCCATCTAAAATGGAACCTACCGTGACATGCTTCATCTCTGAAAAGAGAATTCGATTGGGAATTTCCACCATGTTATCGTGGAGAAATTTGCGACGCTCGCGCAGAGGCCTAAAGGAAACAGAAAAGGGCAAATCAGCAGAAGAAAAATGTGGGTGAGAAAAAGTTCCTTTAATGATTCTAATGTCAAACAGATCCTGTACTTTGGGGCATTCTTTGTTGAGCACTCTTACACTTTGTGGAGAATAAATTTAAACATAGAGGGTGTCCGTAATCCAGCATAGATTTTCATGGAGCAGAGACCCATTCTTGGCAACCATAAAGTGTAGACCAGTTCTTTGCTCAGATTCAGGCTGATATAAGAAAGAATGCTAGCTACAGGGGAGGATTAGCACTCATTATGCACCCACCTGTCCATCAAACTGACGTCATTGAAGTAGATGCAGTCAAAGACAAAAAGGCAAACATTGGCATCCTGGAAAGCAGCTTTCTGTAAAGGGATAGCAAAAAAAAAAAAAAAAAAAAAAAAAAAAAAACAAAAAAAAAAAACAACCACCATGAAATTGACTGCATGATATCATTTCATGAACAACAACAGCCAAGGCTATTTTGCTATTCTGGAGAAGGACAAAGTCTAAACTAGGGATAGATAACTTGTAGCCCTCCCATGCTCGTTTTTGCAGGTTATTGTTGTGGGCCGCCAGCGGCCAGCAGAAATGGCCGCAGATTCGGACAATGAGGCAGTTGGGGAGGAACATGGGTCAGTCCTAGAGTCTGGGAAAAGCTCTGATGAGGGCTCTGTGTCGGAGGCAGAGAGGGAGCCAGAGCCGTATGCCAGTTATCAGCTGCCTTCAGAGTCAGATATCAGTGAGGCAGACAAACACCTGGAGCCTGTTCCTAGTGTGCGCATGCGCAGAGTTGCCAGATGAAGGGAACAGCTAAAGAACAGGAGTCGACTTGGGAGTAAGGTGATGAATGGCCCCTCCCAGAGGAAGTAAAAGAGCAGCAAAAGGGGAGTGGAGTTTGCAGGAGACAATCAGTTTGCCTAATTGGTTAGTGACTCTCCGAGACTTCTTGTCAGGTTTTGCAGATATCGGCCTGTCAGCTCTCCAAGCCAGATAAGGTCTGTGACCGTAAATCCTCCTTTGAAAGACTTTGCCGGCTGTGAATGAGCAGAATTCACTGTAAATTAATAAAAGGATTTTTTGCCGGGACAAGGAGTTTGTTTCATGCTCTTGGGAAGCCTCGATCAGAACAGTTATATTTGTTTGCATTTTTATAAAAACAGTCATTGAATTGGAGAGGGAAAACCTATTTCCCCCCTTTAACAGATACCCCACCCACACCTCCTATGGTATGAAATTATGATGCTGAAATCTTGCCTTTTTTCTAATTTTTAACCAAATAACTCAGGCTCTAGCTAACTCTATACAATGTCTTCTAGTATAAATCTATACAGTCTTTGTTAATTTGGGATGAGAATTCTCTCTGGAGAATGACGTTGGAGAAAGCTGGGCTCCATTCCCTCCCCGTCAGCTAAAAAGGACTGTTACTATTATTGCATTCTTTCTATTAAATGCAGGCTGTTCACGCCCTGCTCTATAAAAGAAGTCTGCTATAAATTGTATCGATGGTTCTCCACCTGTGGTCTGGGGACCTGCGGAGAGGCCGCAATGTGGTCACAGCATATCCGCAAAGGTTGAATAAATATTATGATTAAAATTTCGAGTTAAGTCCCAGTGATCTGTGGCTACGAAAGATATTTAATGGGGGTCTATGGTGAAGAAAAGTTTGAGAACCACTGAATTATGCCATCTCTTTGGCGTTGGGAGAGACCTTCTTCTGAAGTACCTTATGCACTCCCAGGGTCCCAAAAGGCAGAGGCTTCCCCAACTTGGTGTCGATCAGAAGAACTTCAGCATCCAAGATCATACTGTGTCCTCCTGGAAAGGCCTTGGGGATAAAGTCCTTGAAATGAGCCACCTGATGAAATGCAAGCAAGCAATTGCGTTCTGTGAATTTTTCAATCCATTTGACGGGCCAAGAAGCATCGACTGGCATTATAGGCAGACAGAAAGATTTGACTTGCCCAGTGTTTCCCAGCCTCAAGAGCTTAAAATGTGTGGACTTCCAACTCCCAGAAGGACTAGATCAAGCAGGACAAACCCATTGGTTGAGCAGTGGTTAAATGCGGTATTGTAGGCAAATTCTGCCCACAGTTCAGTCCTGATGGGACTCAGCCTTCCATCCTTCTGGGGTCAGTAAAATGAGGACCCAGATTGTTGGGGGCAATATGCAAATAATGCTTACATTGTAAACTGCCCAGAGTGTGCTGTAAAGCGCTAGGGGGGTGGCATATAAATCTTCATGCTATTGCTATAAAAATTCTGTTTTCCTTCCTTTTATCCTCCCCCCCCCTTTTTTTTTCTTTCTTTTGCAATCCTTGTTTTTATTTTATTATATTTTATTTGTCAGATTTTGATGCTGCTGATCATTCATAGGGACGGTTTTAATTTTTGTTGCAAAAATAAAAAAGCCACCTGGGAGACGACTGTAATCTTAAAACGCAAGGTGAAACCAATGGTTAAAAAAAAGGTTATGCACATTTATATTAAGGAGGGGGGGAATAACTGCCCACAATTAAACACAAAAGTGCCAAGGAAACTGTGAAGGCCAACATTTCATTTACAATACTTTAAATCAAATATACACAGAACTTTTAGAACTCCTTGTTTTTCCTGACCAAAATACAAAGCAAGCCGCCTAAACTACACTTCTGGTACTACTGGATTTCGCTGTGGCTGAATTAAAATTAATCCAACCACATGGATTAGGCTTGATGTCCACACAAGAGCCAGAAACCCATACTTTACTCAAGAAGCAGCCCATCCTCTGGGGATAGTGGCACAGTGGTTAGAGTGCACTATCACAGGCTATTTTTGCTGCCTTGCTGGCTGCCTGCAATTAGACAGTTCAAATCTCACCAGGCTCAAGGTTGACTCAGCCTTCCATCCTTCCGAAGTGGGTAAAATGAGGACCCAGATTGTTGGGGGCAATAGACTTAAGAGAGGGTTGTAAAAGCACTATGAAGCAGTATATAAGTCTAAGTGCTATTGCTATCCGCTCCACTAACCTTGTGAGGGAGAACGGGTTTCAAACTGCGGCTGAAATAGCAGAAATGGTCTCCCTTCTTGTGCACTTGGACACGCTCTCCATCATACTTAATTTCTGAATACATGCCATTGGGACACTTTTTCATGGCATATTCAATCGATTTGCAAGCTTCAGCCTTACAAGAAAAGGGAAGAAAGAAAAAAAAAATCCAGTTTAAAACTCTTAGCTTATTAACAACCAGCTGCCTTCTGGCAAATTAGATATTGACTCCATTCACAACAACCTTCCAAACTAAACTTCTCTCAGATGCCCTGGACTATAATTCCCTGGCCAGGCATATACTAAAGTTTTGTAGCTTTGGCAACTTGAAGACATGTGTCATTTTGAAGTCTGTATGTCTTAAAGTTTCAAGCTTGAAGGAGCACCATGGCTCGAATGGCTGAATGCTGGGCAGGAGGTTAGCAAGCCCATGTTCGAGACTCAAGAGCTGTTGTGGGGTGGGGTTCAGGTCTTGTCCTTCACTCTAGCTCCTCCTGGGGACACAAAAGGAGCAGGTGGGTGTCCCCAGGGCAATGGTGATGTCACCAGCTAAGCCTTTTAATCTTCATACCATTGCATGAATGAAAGTCCCTCTAGAGAACTTTGACTTGATGTCTGAGAGGGGAATCAGATGCCAGATGCCAGAAAGGGCAAAACAGTTCACATATGCAGACAAGGTCTTTTGGAGAATGCCAGGCTAAGATTACAGATAACTTAAGAGTAAGCAGTGCTAAGTAGACTGAGTGACAAAGCAATGCAGATGTTCAACAAGATTTTTGCTTTCTAGGAAACAGATTCTGAGGAGGAGTCACACTTTCCTATTTTTAGAACAATGAGAAAATTAGTTTTAGTTTGACCATGGCCTAGAAATGTTATTATCAACAGCCACACACTCTTGAAAATGTATAGTTAAAGGACTACTATACAAAGGTACTTACTGCATTTTTTGGAGTATAAGACGCACCAAGGTTTCAAAGAGGCAAATTAAAAAAAAAGTTTTTGTACTCTGTGAAAACGGGCCTGTTTGTTTCCCCCCCCCCCAAAAAAGGGCACAAATAGCCTTTAGGAGGCTTGTAGGGTGCTCCTGGGGGGTGGGGTGGGGTTCCAAAAATGAGCAAAAAACAAGCCCATTTTTTGTCAAAAAAAGGGCATGGATATCCTTTAGGAGGCTTATAGAGTGCTTCTGGGGGGTGGGGTGGGGTTCCAAAAATGAGCAAAAAACAAGCCCATTTTTTGTCAAAAAAAGGGCATGGATATCCTTTAGGAGGCTTATAGAGTGCTTCTGGGGGGTGGGGTGGGGTTCCAAAAATGAGCAAAAAACAAGCCCATTTTTTGTCAAAAAAAGGGCATGGATATCCTTTAGGAGGCTTATAGAGTGCTTCTGGGGGCTGCGGTGGGGTTCCAAAAATGAGCAAAAAACAAGCCCATTTTTTGTCAAAAAAAGGGCATGG